TTTATTTTTTTTAGTGTTCTGTCTGACGACAGGTCCATATGACCAGGATCCTTCCATCCTTTTCTCGGACTGGGATCTGTTCATATACGTTCTTGGCAGATGATCCAGACGTGGTTTGCCATTGCCTTCTTCTGTGTGTGACTGGAGTAATTGTTGGGATGCCACGGAGAAACCGGGGAAGCCCCCGGAGGAAAACTCCGTGTTGCCTAGACCACGGCCTTGCCCAACACAAGTTATAAATTCGGGCACCGCCGGGAATCGAACCCGAGACTTGTATGGGTTTAGTTCATGTTTTAAAATGAAGATGCATTCTCATCTACATGCCTTACTAAAACATAATTTTTATGTTATAAACACCATATTATGTAAGTTCCATTTAATTTTAATTTGCTTCCTAATTTGTGACTTTTGTTATTGGATTTGCATGCTGTGATGCCTAATGGGTCGTACTGAAGAGAAACCGCTGAGCAGTGTTGAAGTTCAGCAAGTGATAGATAAAATTTCGGCTCCTTTAATTTATCAGAAGTTGTGTCGTTTCAGGATATACGTATTATAACTCATAGAATTCAGTTTATTTAATCTCACGCAATAAATGACATTTTATTATTCAGCATTGACACATAGTAAGTAAAGTAAAGTTTGTCCCACTATACGCCATGTAGGCGTTTGGGGTGAGTGGAGGTATAGCTCCTCTCTTCCTTGACCTCGGCACTAGATGGGGTGAGTGGTCAGCATCACGCCCCGGCCGGCTCTACCCCCAGGAAAGGACCCCGGTACCCATTGTAGAGGAGGCTGGGTGGGCCCCAGAGTCGGTCTGGACACAGAGGCTAGAGGAAAAATCCTCTGCCCCCGTCGGGGATCGAACCCCAGTCGTCCAGCCCATAGCTAGTCACTATACTGACTGAGCTATCCCGGCTCATGCATTGACACATACACAAGAATATAAACTATTTATTTGATGAATGGTTACATATTTGGCCATTTATATCATTTTTAGGTTCTGCCAACATATATTCTTATGGAATACATTTTTGTATCTGCGGGTGTCATCTCTTGACTGTCACAATAGTGTACATCATTAAAGACAGTTATGTGACATCACTAAATAAAAGTAGGAAAAACAACACATTTAGAACACCGTTCTTCAGAGTAAGACGTTTAACATTCAGAAACAGCTGCTCTACAATTTTCCGTCCACTTCAAACTGTTGGCAAATTACTGTGGTCTTGGGAACTTGTTTTATTTTCTGTGGCTTTTTTTCCCATTCTAATTAATAAAATGGTAATTGGGTGGAAACCCTAAAAACAAAATGAGAAGGTAAAAGGAATTATTCCTGATATATCATCGTATGAAGGATTGTCAAATGGGGCAAGAGTCGTGGCGATCGTAAGTAGCAAAGTGTTGACTCTTGACAGACAGTAGGAGGGTTGAATAATTACAAAGAAACTGCAGCTGGCACTCAAGAACAAGTGAGACCACCTGGTCTTTAGGTACTAAAGGGGTGTGAAAACTATGACCGATATACTGATAGTAAGACCATTGAAAATTGTGTCATTTTGCTGTAATGTTTCTGTTATTATATCATAATTAAATTAATATAGTTTTGTTGAAACTACTTTCTGTACATTCTCTAGTAGCTTACAGTTTAAACTGCTTCTCCATCTCGAAAATCACTTTTGCAATTGCCTCGTTCTTGGGAGCCCGAAGTACGTCTTCATAGTGGGTGAAAAAGAATGTAGTGATCCCAAATTTCTCATAGGCCGGACACAACTCATGCCAGGCAGTAAAATTAATGATGCATTATGATGCAATAATATAAAGAAGAAATGCAGATTAATTGTCTGACAGCTTCTGCAATACATAATACACGGGCGATTCTAAATTACGTATATTATATACAAGGACTGTGTTCTGCTCTTAAAACCAAGCCTAGATGAAGCTCCTATAATCATCTTGTCACAAGTGCCTTTCTAGAGGGCACAGCAATGAAGCATCGGTTTACAATTAATTTTTGGACAGGAAAAACTGGTGATCTTGTCATAGGGCTTTAATGAGTTGCTGTTTCAAATCTTAGGGCCTCTTATTTTCGTATTTAACTGAAGAATTACCTCAGCTATTTACAGAATTAAAGAAAACCTATGACTGAGTTGTAAGAGAAGTTACTTACAGTATTTTGTTTGAGTTTTTTTGTGGCCAGAAAGCTAGTCAGGCTAATTAAAATGTGGTTACGTGAAACCTCTAGCAGAATTCATGCAGGTAAACATTTGTCACCGATACATTTCTTATTCAGAGTGAGCTGCTCTATTGTTAGCTTAATTTCTTTCCTGTCATTTCAGAAATAAGTAAACGTATTCGTGAATGTGTTTTTAATTTACAGTCAAATCCCATTAAGGTTTGTCTGTGCAACAATAATTTTCTGTCTTCATTTGAGAAAATGTTTAAAGGGGATTTGTATCAAAATTAAACAGAAAACAGGAGACTTAAATCCCCCCCCCATAGTACAGGGTCACCTGCCGAACTTCAACTCAACTCTGAGGTTCATGTCTTATCAACATGTTAGCATGACGCATGGCGAGGTGGAATGTGCGTAAAGCCGTGACGCATGGTCAGTAAGGTTTATGAACAACATTGCCTAATTTAATGCACCATTTCTAATTCACTATCCCAACATTTCCCTGACAGTTTCTCAGTCAGAGTAGCCAGTCTCGAGGCCAATATTTGAACCTGAAATTTTCTGAATACATCGCAGATTACTAACAACTCATGATTAGTGGCTTCTTTAAATGTAGTTCACTATTAATTCATTACACTAATTAGTTTGTGCCCTGTCTTAGAAAGGTGCTTACACCTTGCCTTTGCATAATTAAGGAATTTATTTTACAGCTCCCAGCTTCTTTCAAGAACTCTTTGAGTCGTAAAATCTCACCTGTGTTCCTTACCGTCTGCGCTTGTAGCAGCATGAGGCGATGGCGATACAAGATGGGTGCAGCGCCAAGGCACAATGGATGAACTTCCAGCGATACACGTTTAGTATAATGTCAGACTTCTACATCTCGACCCTGGCAGATGAATTAGTTTCATTAATGGTATACGGCGGCGACTTTACGAAGTTTGGCGGTAAAAAGTGTAGCTGTCGTGGTGTTGAAAATCAGATCAATTTGAGGTGAGTATTAATGGAGATAGCTGTTTTTTTATTTACTTCAAGTAATAATGGACTTGCTTCTTATTATTGACACAAATGATGAGAGTAAGAAGGCCGAGAGTTAATGGAGGACATTTTGAATGTTTGCTATGAAATTTACAATCCAAGTTCAAGGAGAAAGTGATACTGTGTTGTAAATTTCTGAAAGAAATTAGGACTGTATCTTTAAAAGGAGCCTTCCCAGACCTTTGTCCATGTGAAGTTTCTTCAGTTTCGGTGTATAAACGTCACATGCACATTTGTACCGCACCTTCAGCTTACATTCTTTACATAGAAGGGTATTAAATGTGCAAGTGTTTCTCATAACAGCTAAGTTAGTTTTCAAAGAAATTCTTAGCGGTGCATGGAAAATAAATCAGGTCGTACTTTTCTGTCTTTTCGTGGCACAGTTGGCACTGGAAGATTGAAAATTAAATGAATCTAAAGGTGCAAAATAAGGCATCAGCTACACTAACAGCAGTTTCTAGAATTTCAGGAAGTCTGGTCTTTTACAAAGTTCATGCATTGCTTCTTGTAATACAGACTCGTGCAGTTGTGGTTCTCGGAAGTCTGAGGTTATATTTACTGTAGCCTTCGTAGTGAGTGGACGTGTCTTGCTAGTGCTCCGTGCTGTGTGTTTAAAACGTGGTGCAGTTGTAAAGGAATCTGCTACCTGCAGCCTTCCGGCGCAATGACGGCTAGCAGGGATACTTGTGAGATGTGCAAGAAGGCTTTCTACGGAAAGCAGAAACATATTAGATGTTGTGGGCCGTGTGCTTCGCGTTTTCATGTCACTTGCTTGAAAATGAGTGAGGTGGAGTATTCATTCCTTTTGTCTGATGGTGTTTCCACCTACAAGTGCGCAAAGTGTGTAAAGGCACTTCGAGGCGTTAGTGGTGTAAACACGCCGCCAATGAACTCGCGTTCTGCCTCTGCCTCGGAGCTTGCTAAGAAGGTAGTGTCTCCTGTAAAGGAACCGATCCTGCCAGACGGGGATTACGACTCTCTCGCTGGTAAGCTGGAGATGGTGAAACTCAATGGAGCTAGCACTCACAATCTTGTAGAAAACTTGGTGCAGTTGGTCCTCAAACTTTCTGAGGATGTGCAGCAGCTCCGCAAAGATAATGAATATTTGAAGGAGCAGTACTGCCTGTGCTCCTTTACACGTTGCGGAAAGTAATTCATCAAGCCAGGGATCTTCAACCACTCTGTCGCGCAAAGTTCCTGTACCATCCGACAACTCTACTTCGGCCTGTGCTGCTGACGTGGGCGTTAAGTCCTACAAGGACGTCACGCTCACGGATTTACAATCTACGGAGACTCCAACGCAGGTGGACACCGAGGGCTTTATAATGGTGAACCGTAAAAGGAAGCCCAACCCCGGTACCCGGGTGGTCAACACTACAAAGCAACGTAGACAGCCCTTAATTGGGGTCCAAAACTCTCTAAGAAAGAGAGGTCTATGGCCCTGTTCGTTTCACGGTTTAGTCCTGAGGTCACAACTTCAGATATTGAGACTTCATTAAAGGAGCAATTACACCTTAAGAATTTGTTGTGCACCAGGCTAAAAAAAATTTAGCAGTTATTCTTCCTTTCATGTTTCTGTCAACGAAGATGAGTTTCCATTAATTAATAATACTGGTGTGTGGCCAAATGGGTGCCTTATTGCTCCTTTTTGCGGCAGACTTACTTCTGAGCAGGTTTACTCCTCGAGCGCGCCTGTCAGGTCAATGGAGTCAGATGCTGTGCCTACGGCCAGTGCGGCTCCTAGGCCTGGAGGCAGCTCAGATTCCCACAGACTTGAAACTATATTGTGATATTAAATCTGTGGATGACTGCAGAGCTCTTCAAGCAGATATCGATTCCGTACATGAGTGGAATATGGAACTTAACATAGATAAAACCAAAATTATATCGTTCACACGTAAAACCGACAGTATGCATTTTAATTACATTGTTATAGTCTCTGTTCATTATCTTCCGATACGTCGCTAAGTCCTTGAAAAATGAGAGGTATAACTCATCGCTATTGTTTTATAATTTTTATAAATAAATCTATTTTATTTTTCTGTATTAAATGAGTTTCATTTAAAATTTACAATTAAAAGCTGACTTCGTATGCATTTCACTTTATACCCAGTAGTATTTAATTGTAGCTTATTAACCTTTATTAAATGTGCGCCACTGCCTTTATACAGTCAGATTATCCGTTTATTGAAGTAGCATAACGTTGAATCAGTAAACCCTGTTGTGAGGTCGAGCTGAAAAGCCCTTTTTTTTTACGAGGGTTTGAATCCCTTTTCTAACATGATACAGGGAAGTACAAACAAGTCACCTCATTAGGTGGGTTTATGATGTTGGTGTATTAATATCTGGATTACTGAGTTTTTGGACTTTTGCATCATCTGGTATTCTAAAAAATACATTTTGAAAATGGGATCTCGCATTGCCCCTCTTCCCTAAAACTGAGGGTAATAAAAGATCTAGTTTTTGAAATGTTATGTTCTTTTCAATACCAGATGATGGTTAAGTCCAAAATACTTAGTAATCCAGAAAAACTCTGATCATTCAAATGTTTGTTGTCAAGTCACAGAATTTATTCATAGTGTAATAAATCTGTCATCTTTGGTACGGTTTGATCTCTGACGTTCGTGAGTTGTGCAGGCTGTGTCAGAGTGGCACTTGAATTATCAGATTGAGGGGAGAGTAATAATTTAGTCTTACTGAATGAAGATCTGAAGAAGTCAAGGTAAAATTGGAAAAAAAAATTCTGTATGCCTACACCCACAAATGTATATCTATATAATTAAAATGCTCAGAAGTCTGTTCATATGAATTATGGATTAAAATATTCTGATCTACATGAAAATTGAAATACCTCAACAGTCTCATAAAACTTTTCAGTATTACATATCGAAATCAGTTCCTTGCAAAGATGGCGCCCCATCAAGTTGAAGATAGGGCCACGGCTTCATCTACCTTTCAGGAGCACCCCATCTACAGCCTCAGTGGACTCCGAATGGACAGATAGATGGCAGAACACACTTTAATAAATGGATGTAACTCTGAGGTAAGGGTCAGTCACTAAGAAGTTGGGAAACTGCCTTGAATTTGAATGTCAGCAAATGGGTTTATGCCCAGTGGCAGTGGTGCTACAATAAGACACAAACAAAACAACACACACACCACACTCAAAATAAAACAACTCGTAAGATTACAAAACCATAAGGCACAATATTTAAACATAACAGTAGTGCATTTACAAATTATGGATTGCACACTCCTTCGTTTGCGACATAGCGAGAGGCCTCCACTTGCCCAGCCCCTGGCATTTCCGTAACACTCGACACATGAATCCTCTGAGTTCTGGAAACCGGTTAGTGCCTTTGTCCCCTGTACGACGCTCATTTAATATCTACCCATGCAAAATATGCTCTTATTAAATAACCATAGTATGGAAAGGGTTGGCCACGGTGGTCTAGCGGTTAGAACGCTGGCCTTGTAATCCTGGGGTCTCGGGTTCGATTCCCGGCAGTGCCCGAATTTATAACTTGTGTTGGGCAAGGCCGTGGTCTAGGCAACACGGAGTTTTCCTCCGTGGCATCCCAACAATTACTCCATTCACACACAGAAGAAGGCAATGGCAAACCACTTCTGGATCATCTGCCAAGAACGTATATTAACAGGTCCCAGTCCGAGAAGAGAAAAGGATGGAAGGATCCTGTTCATATGGACCTGTCGTCAGACAGAACACTAGATAAATAGATAAGTATGGAAAGAAAGCATCCACTAAAATATGGGATCTTCACCTTTGAGGACTTTCTGCGGGGGCCTTCCTCATTCATAATTGACAGGGGCGGTGTTTCCAGGTAACTTGTCCTCATGCCAGCAAAGTTTTTTTTACTAAACATTCAGTACATTGTTTAAGTCATTTTGCAGTGAATAGAAGCTTTTGTTTTTTGGGCCCCTGAGATATGTTAGAGGTATTGAAAGACAGACTCAGTACTTTGAGGCCAGAAGCTGTTACTTGACTGGCATTCCACGATACCTTTGGGTCAGTTTCCAGAACAAGAAAACACGTATTATATTTTCTAACAGGAATTGAATGGGACACATCAGCTCTTGGTCTATGCTGATGATATTAATCTGTTGGGCAATAATGTAAATACTATAATAGCAAATACAGAAAGACTTTAGGTCAGTAGGGTTGTTGGTCTAGAAATAAATGCAGAAAAGACAAAGTACGTGATCATGTCTCGGCATCAGAATTCAGGACAGAACCACAATATAAAGATGGCTGATGAACTGTTCGATAAAGCAACAAAATTCAGGTACCTGGGGACGACACTAACAAGTCAAAATGACATTCATGACGAAATCAAGGGCAGATTAAATTTAGGGAATGATTGCTATCATTCAGTCTGAAATCTTTTGTCCTCCCGTCTCATAAAATGGAAACTAAAGATTAAAATATACAAAAGTGGAATTTTGCCGGCTATGCTGTATGGGTGCGAAACTTGGTATTTTACTTTGAAGAAGGAACATAGATTGAGGGTCTTTGGGAACAGTGTTGAGGAGGATATTTGGACCTGTGAGGGAGGAAGACGGATCATGGAGAAAAATTGCATAATAATGAGCTTCACAGCTTGTACTCATGACCTGATTGTTAGGGTGATTGAATGGAGGAGGTGGGTGGGACATGCAGCATGAGTGGGTAGGGGAAGGGGTGTTTACAGGGTATTGGTTAGGAGGCATAGGTGGGAGGATAACATTAAGATGGACCTTACAGAGAAAAGGAATCAAGGGATCGAACTGGATGCACGTAGCTCAGGATAGAATCCAGTTGCAGGTTTTTGTGAAGACGGTGATGAGCCTTCGGGTTCCATAAAGAAAGTAGGCTTTATTCTTTGACAAGCCGAGTAATGGTCAATTTTCAAAGAATTCCCTCCACAATAGTGGGTGTGAGTATTGTATGGGTGTGAAAATTTGTCTCTTCTGCTAAGGGAAGGAAGCAGAGTGAGGGTTTTTGAGAACTAGGTGCTGTGGAGAATGCACCCAAGAGGGTTGAACTAATAAGATGATGGAAAAAGTTGCTTAATTATTAGGTTCGTAAGTTATACCCATTGCCAATTATAGTGAGAATGATCAGGTCAAGGAGGATGAGATGGGCAGGGTATGTAGCCTGCATGGGAGAGAGGACAAATTCATATATGGTTTTGGTTGGCAAATCAGAATGAAAGAATCCACTAGGAAGGTGTAGAAGTAGGTTAGAAGGGAAAAAAAGAATCTTGGAGAAATAGGATGGGGTGGTCTCAACTGGATTAATCTAGCACAGGACAGGAACCATTTGTTGGCTCTTGAGAAGACTGTAATGAACCTTTGGGTTCATAAAGTGTTGGGAAATTTTTGAGTAGCTGACCGACTGCTGGCTTCTCAGGAAGGACTCAGCTCCGTGGAGTAAGTTCCTTTAGTAGTGCTTCAGGTGGACATACATTTTAACGTAAATCATTTGTGTTATAATTCTGATGACGTTATAACGTGTGATTAGTGCAAAAGCACTTTTGTAAATTTTTACACCCTTTAATAAAGACGTGAATTTGCTAAAAATCGACAGGTGGGGGCAAACGTAGTGTGATGTTGATCAGGCAGGGATTTTCATGCGCGTTACTGACCTCAGATAATTTGACTTGTTCGAGCTTGTCCATAACTGACCAAACCTGTCAAAAGTTCCGGTGACCTCTCCAGAGCTTGTTAAAGGTAATCCGGACGATCTGAACTTTGGACTGTTCAGACAAGTCAAAGCTTGTTTAACGCTGTTCATGCCTGTTTAAACCTGCGAAACATGACCAAACTTGTCAATCGCAGGCTGTCCAAGCGAGTCAAACTATCGAAAACAGCCTACACGTTTTCGACCCTGAGTATCTCTGGCCGACCAGACGTGTACAAATCTTAGTCTGTCCATAAATAAACATCATCGATCCGACTGGACCATTCCCAAGTGTACGCTGCCGACGTTCGTACAAACCAAATAATGTAAACACAACCTAACGAAATTATATAAATGAAATCTTTATTCCCCTACATTTTGAAAACTTTGATTTCTTAAAAAAATATTTGTAATTTTTAAAGATGTAAAAATTTATAACTTTACAACATCTATAACATATCGTAACGTCGAAATGTTATCAATTTCCTGATTTTAAAATTTTAAGAATTTTGAACATTTTCTAGCCACTTTTACGACTGCAGTATTCACATGCATTCGAGATTATGATTCGGTACGGTAAGAGCTAGTTGCTCGTGGGTAATATCTGCTTGTTAAGTTTCCTACTATGTCTCAGCATAGATACTCTTTGTCGTGTCTCAGAAGTCGGTATTATCTAACATGGTGCGATGTTGTATTGATTTAGTGCGTTTGCTGACTGGTAGATGTTTGTGTTAGGGGAATTTACAGAACGTGTTTAATATTATGCAGCAGTGTGACCGCAAATAGCAGTCTGCAGTTGAACAACTAAGTTTGGACATTCTTGCCAATTAAAAAACGTGTGTACTTACTTGCACTGGATGAAAGCAATTATTAATGACATTATATCCATTATAGTTATGTTAAATGAATAAGTGGATAAAGATCATTAGATTTCTATAAAAGACACGAATTCATCCTTTTGAGGGCGATTCTTAGGGAAGGAGCTACTACTAGATTCTGTGTTACTCGCGGCAATAATACAGGTAGCCCGCAATTTACGCCGGGGATGCGTTCCTGGACGAACCGGCGTAAATTGAAACACTTTTATAATGTAAATCAATGGGAAGTCAACGACATGCGTTCCCAGTACCCAAACATTCACGAGTAATATAATGGCATGGCATTTAAAGCTCTGAAATAACGTAAATAAAATAAAGGGAATTAAAAAAATATATTTTATACCCTTACAATCGGCAATTCGTTGGTCCCCGCGATTGACTGCGATTCTTTCATATGATTGATGTGTACAGTCATCTCTGTTTGGAAGTTGTCTTATTTCCGCCAATCCTTTATAAACCACTATCTGGTCTGAGGCGGAGGATCATTATTATTCAAGCACTGCTACTTGCTGTACCGTCATTTGGTAGAATTTGAAATATACTCTACGTGGACTTGGGTACTGGACGTCACTGACCTACCTCCTGGCACCCTGTGTGAGGAACTTAGATTCCTCACCTTACCATCCAGTTGTAACAACAAAAAGAAAACCAATCAAAAACTCTACTACTACTACTACAACAACAGAAGAACTACATTACATGTTGGCAGCAGTGGGATAACAGGGAGCTACATCACCGACGGTCAGAATTTTGGCAAGTTGGACCAGGCTAGAGGGACTTCTATTCTTGCCGAGGCAGGAAGAAGCCTACTTTGAGGAGTCAACGCTCCAGAGGAATCCTTAAGGCGCCGAGGTACCTGGAGAAGACTACTGGAGCCAAGTCCGTGGGCGAGAGGCTATCATCAGCGACCCGAGTTGCAGCCCGAGGGACAACCCGAGGTGACCAGGCGATAGCAGCACCTGACGCGAAAGGAGATATACCCTGAGGGGAGCTAACGTGGCCATCACTGGACCTCCGAACTTCAGGGCCTTCATTTACCCAACTCTTCTAACTTTCCAGGTTAGTTCACATCCATTATGGCAGACGATGATAGGAGTGACGATGAACACGAATTCGTTTCTGTGGCTCAGGCGATAAAATTAATTCCCAGACCTTTTGACGGAAACCCGAAATATTTACGAGAATTTTGCGAAGCAGTAGAATCAGCTAGGGAAGTATTAGCTCCGGCTAAGCAACCACTTTTATTAAAATTTATCGAGTCTAAAATAACAGGGGAGGCCAAGGATAGATTACTGGCTAGAACCGCACGTACTACATGGGAGGAAGTTAATGCAATTTTAGAAGAGAACTATTCTGTACGCAGAACATTAGAATTTTATGCAAGTCAGCTATTTACAGCAAAACAAGGTCCAACAGAAACTGTGGCACAGTGGGGTTCTCGTATTGATGCTACGGATATTGAATTAAGAAGAGAAACCAGATGTATACTTGAAAGATTAAATCCAAATTTTGTTGAAGGTGGAATTAGTTTGATTGGGGAATTTTTAAAGGGTAATATTGTGGCAGGACTTAAAGACGATAAGGTAAAATACATTGTAAAAGCTAGGAGTGAAGATGATTCCCTTGCACAGTTAATTGAAACTGCTCTTCAGGAAGAAAGTGAAGTTAGATCACAAAAATATAGACAACCAGGAAATTATGGATGGCCAAATTATTCGGGAACAATTAAGAAAGAAAGTAGACCACCACAAATTAAACGAGAAGCAAAAGTAGCATCGGCTACAGTGTGCTCAAAATGCAAATGCCAGGGTCATGAAACTAGGCAGTGTAGCCGAGGACAGTCCAAAATTTAGGCTGTGATATGGTTAATGACAAGGAATCATTAAATATTGCGAGTAACAGGAATTTTGGTAAACGGGGACGCCTCTGGGAACCTTGTGAATTCTGTAAATAAGTTAGGACCATATGAAATATATGTAGTATGTCCACAACTGAAGGGAGGGCTTGGTATAGCTCTTATAGATACAGGTTGTCAAGTATCATTGGTTAAGGAAAATTCTTTAATTTCATTTAAATAAAAAAGGAATAATTTATAGGTACAAGGAATAACAGGATGTAAACTGAAAATACAAGGCAAGGTGGCCATAAAGTTTGAAAACGCATTAGAACCAAGCGAGTTTGATTATTTTGTAGTGAATAAATTACCTAGAAATTTAGATCTAATTTTAGGTCAGGATTGGCTTTCACTAAATGGTTATATGATGACAGGAACAGTGGCAGTTCCTCCATATAGTGAAACTTTGTTAGAAAAGGGTACACGTTACATAGAACATCAAATCTTGAAACCTGGTGTTATTTGTGTTTCTAGTTTAGTGAGTTGTGAACAAACTTTCCCGTGTTTATTAGTAAACACAACACATGAGACACTCATAATAAACAGAACACCTAAATTAGTAAAACCACCGACACGATTAAAAGAAACACATAATTGTGAACAATCGTTTACAACTACGAGGTTGAATCTGTTGAATGAGAATTTAAGGTTAGAACACATGAATGAGGGAGCAGAAGATATTAGGAAAGTTTGCCGAGAATATATTGATATTACCTGGTGATAAACTAACTACTACAACAGCAGCAAGGCATTCTATCCCCACTCCTTCCATTCCAAAAGGTAGAGCAAAAACCTTAAAGAATTATAGGCTCCCAGAAGCACACCAACAAGAGATTAAAGTTCAGGTAAATCAAATGTTAGATGATGGTATAATTACAACTAGTAAAAGTGAATGGAATTTTAGATGCTTCCGGAAAAAGGAAATTCAGAATCTGCATAGACTTTCGCAGACTTAATGAAATAACTGTAGGTGATAGTTATCCTTTACCTAATATCCAAGATATACTTGATAAAATTGGAAGAGCTAGATATTTTTCAGCCTTAGATTGTGCTAGCGGATACTTACAAGTACCCATTGATCCAGAAGATCAATGCAAAACAGATTTTAGCACCCCTGATGGTCACTTTGAATACGTACGCCATTCGGGTTAAAATCAGCGCCAGCAAAATTTCAAAGAATGATGAATGCCGTATTAAGAGAATCAATTGGAAATAGATGTTTTGTGTATATGGATGATACGCTGGAAGAACACCATGTAAAATTACGAGAAGTATTTGAGAAATTTTTATTATTTTTTATTTAGTGTTCTGTCTGACGACAGGTCCATATGAACAGGATCCTTCCATCCTTTTCTCGGACTGGGACCTGTTCATATACGTTCTTGGCAGATGATCCAGAAGTGGTTTGCCATTGCCTTCTTCTGTGTGTGAATGGAGTAATTGTTGGGATGCCACGGAGGAAAACTCCGTGTTGCCTAGACCACGGCCTTGCCCAACACAAGTTATAAATTCGGGAACCGCCGGGAATCGAACTCGAGACCCCAGGATTACAAGGCCAGCGTTCTAACCGCTAGACCACCGTGGCTTACATTGAGAAATTAAGGGAATACAATATTAAGATTGAACGTGATAAATGTGAATTTCTGAAAGTTGAACTTAACTACTTAGGACGTATAGTAACGGCTCACAGCGTAAAACCAGATCCTAAAAAGATCAATGCTGTTAGCGATTTCCCTACTCCAAAAACAAAAAGATATTAAGTCATTTTAAGGGCTAGCAGGATATTACAGGAAATTTATTGATAACAGACTTGTTAAAGAAAGATCATGACTGGCACTGGAGTGAAGCATAACAGGCAAGTTTTGATCTGTTAAAATACAAATTAACGCATACTCCTTTATTACAATATCCCGATTTTGCAAAACCATTCATATTAACCACAGACGCCAGTGGTTATGCTATAAGTGCAATTTTAAGTCAGGGTAAATTGGGGCAGGGTAAACCATTAGCTTATGCTAGTAGAACACTAAACAGTTCAGAAGTCAACTATAGCACTGTAGAGAAAGAATTATTAGCAATTGTGTGGGCATATAAACGTTTTAGACCTTACCTGTTAGGTAGAAAATTTCAAATAGTCACCGATCACCGTGGCTTGGTTTGGATATTTAATGTTAAGGACCCTAGTTTACATTTGATACGTTGGAAGCTACAGTTAGAAGAATATGATTATGAGATTCAATATAGAGCTGGAAAAAGAAACTGTAATGCTGACAGTTTGAGTAGGTACTCTGTAGAACAGGGGTGGCCAACCCAAATGATCTTTCGGGCCACTTTGGAAATGCATCATAACTCCGCGGGCCACATATAAAATTATATATCCCCATATTAGATTTAGATACACTATAGACATTTTTTTGGAGTGAAAAATTGAAACATAATGAGTTATTATTATTGTGTTTACTATTATTCTTACATGTAAACATAGACAACACACTGTTTGCCGAGATAGGCTTAGGTTCGAAAACAGTTTACTTTTATCAGGTAAAATATCCTTCACAACAGCTTCCAAACATTCTGTCACAAATTTACCATCCGAAAATGTTTTCATTTTTTTTACAATCACAAATGAAACAGAATAGCTTGCCTTAACAATATTGGAAGGTTGCTGTAATGCTGCACCAAACATTTTTTGTTGAGCCTTTAATTGCGACTTAAACTCCTTGAGCTTCGATTGTTTCACTTCTTTATCGAACTTCAAATAATCCTTATGTTTTGTTTCGTAATGCCTCTTAACATTATATTCCTTAAATACAGCAACGACCTCTCGGCAAATTAAACATAATAATTTTGTATTTTGAACTATGAAGAAGTACTTTTCTTCCCATTCATCGCTATACTTTCTATTTTCATCCACTATTCTTCTTTTCTTTGCAGTCATACTGAAAATAAGAGAGATATTAAATATATCTATTTTTAATTGTTAAATTAAAAGTCATTTTTAATTTAATAGGAGTTATTACCTGGCTGTTGTTGTTTTAAATATGTTGTTGAAGTACAGGCATATTAAAATAATTATCCTGCAGTCACAGCACACAAAACGAAACCAAAAAGCAAATTTTCACTTGAAACTGAGAGTCTGCTCTGCTCTGCTATCAACAATCAACTGTGCGTATCTAGGTATGGTCACTGCGTCACTGAGGGCACTTAAGAGTGAAACATATGTCCAGTAGGAGGCCATCAAGGCATACAGAAGACAATTGAAGGAATAAAATTATATATATCATGGCCTGGACTTGAACACGATGTAACAGAATTCATAAGAGAGTGTAAAATTTGTCAAGTAAAGAAAGACACCCGTCCAAAAGTAAAACAGCCTTTAGAAATTACTGACACAAACAGCACCTTGGGATAAAATTTATTTAGATATTGTAGGCCCTTTGCCTCAAACCGAAAAAGGAAACAAATACTTATTAACATGTCAAGATAATTTAAGCAAAAATGTCATTGCCATTCCACTACATACACAAACCGTAGAACTGACAACGGCAGTCATGACACATGTTATTTTAATTTATGGAATCCCTTCATCGATTGTAACGGATCAAGGTTCAAATTTTATGAGTGATATGTTTAAAAGATTATGCAAATTAATGAGAATTGAGAAAATATGGCTTCATATCACCCTGAAAGTAATGGAGCACTTGAAAGAACCCATAAATCATTAGTTACGTTTTTAAGATGTTTTTGTGATCCTAAGACTTCAGACTGGGATTACTGGATATTTTTTGCACGCTTTACTTACAATACAAGTCCTCATTCGGTAACCAAATACACACCTTATGAAATATTATTTGGGAGAAAAGCCAACTGACCTGGTAATTTACAACAAATACCTCAACCATTATATAATTATGATGACATTGTCCAAGATATTAAAAATAAAATGCAGAATTGTCATAAAGTAGCGAGGGAAAGATTAATTCAATTTAAAGAGAAAAAGTGAAATCCAATGCCATAAGATTTGAAGAAAATGATTTAGTATTGTTAATAGTAGAAAACAGACATAAATTGGAGCCTTTGTGGAAAGGTCCATTTGAAATAAAGAAAATCATTGGTTCAAATGTAATAATTCAAGAATTGGGAAAGAGAAAACATCACGAAGTACATACCAACAGGTTAAAACCTTATTTCTCTTCCGTTACAGGTAGCAAAAAATGAAGCTACTTAAATTGTGGTCAATGATATTGATCAGCACATGGTGTTGGGTACAGTTCCAAGCACAGGAAGTACAAGAAATTCAGTCTAAAACAGGCATATATTTTGATGAAGTAGGTACATTGTTATTCTATCCTATGAGATGGAAAGTAGTTACTTATATTAATCTAGAACCAGTCAGATAATTGTGGAAACAAACCAAGGACCATCAACGTAGAGTTACAGAATTTTGTTTTAAGTCCATAATAAAAATTGGTATCATTTAACAGATTGTGGAGCTTTTGATCAATACGTGAAATCAAAAATTAGATATATCGACAATTTAAAGAATTTAATTAGTGAATATTTGATAAATACGCCAAATTCAAGAAAAGTCAATTCAAATAAAATTAGAGTAGAAAGGGGAGTTTTGAATTTTGTGGGCGACATAGCTAAAATTTTATTCGGTACTCTGACACAGTCAGATGCTGAAGAATATCACAATTAGAAAAGGAACAAGCTGAATTTTTACATATTTCCAAAGAACAGATCAACAATTAGTTCAGTTAACTTAACACTCCAAAAAGTACATCAAAATGAAAAAGTGTTGAAAGATGGTCTCACGAAACTAACAAATTATAGTTTTCAAAAACTTGGAGAATTACAAGAAGAAATTGAAAATGTAAACTTAATAAATGTACAAATCAGATTAGTCCAGAGAGGTGTGGATGAAAGTCAACACTCATTTGAAATTTCAATAGATGCCTTTGTGCATGCTGAGCAAGGTACTTTACAGCCACAATTAATCACAACAGAGAAAATCAGAAGTTTGATGATTAAACTGAAACTGCCAAATGGATTGGACTACCCTAACTTTCCTTTCTCTGAACTACAAAAACTTATTACACCTCATGCTTACGCTTATACACAATATTTGGTATATGTGTTAGAAATTCCGTTGTCATCTCCTACCACGTATCACCTCTATAGAATTCTTCCTTTTCCTGTAAAAAGTCATGATTCTACTTATGCTTACATCAGTTCTAATAAAGAATATATGAAGATATCTGTCTTCTGGGTTGTTGCGCTGTGTAGTCTGGTCGATGTTAACCAACGTTTTAGAGGTCATACTGCCTCCGTCATCAGGGCGATGAATATGCCAATAGGGTGTGAGGAGCTGGATTTATAGGCCGGGAAGTGAAAGGTGTATCCTGCCCCGAGCCAATGGGAGTGGACCAATGGTAGCACGTGGGCGAGAGTGGGAGAGGGAGAGAAAGTAGAGAGAGAAAGGTGAGTTTGGTTGTATGGAAAGAATATATGTTCAGTGATCCCATCCATCAACATTATGGAAAATTGACTGCTAACGAGTTAACTGGATGTTACCAACCAAATATATTGCAATTTGTGTGCAAAGAAGATATTCCCATTTACACCTATGTTCCAGACGCAGATTGTGAAGCTACTTTGCTACATCCCTCCATTTCCATAATCCCTCCAAGCTGTGAATACAGAGTGTTAAAATTAGACAAATCATTTTGGATACCCTTACATATGAGTAATGAGTGGCTATATATAGCACCTCAACCTGGCGCACTAACTGTATTATGTCCACATGAGACAAAGAACATAGCAGCAGCATTGCATTGTGGTCTCTAACACAGAATTTTAGTGAAGATGGCTCTCCTCTGGGTTGTTTTGCCATGTAGTCTGATAGAAGTTTACCGACATTTCAGAGGTTCTTGGTGCCTTCATCATTAGGGAAATGAGTGAAACGACCTCTGAAATGTCGGTAAACTTCTATCAGACTACATGGCAAAACAACCCAGAGGAGAGCCATCTTCAGACTCGCCGCCGTGAAAACCTCGAATCCTACAGAGCATTTTAGTGTTTACTTTCTTGAAGAATGGTAACGAATGAGTAGAATTCCCATTTGATAACAGTAACGTAACAGATGCAAGCCTAATTTAGATCAAGTTGCTAGAAGCCAAAACAGCGAAACAGACTGGTTGTTTGAGCTTCGCTTTGTGTCGTGTTAAGCAACATTGAGCATTGCCTGGATAAGCTTTGTTCAAGGAAACAAGGTCATAGGTCGTATTAGGTAAGCCAGTTAAGACTTCCTTTTCATTCCATTTTGCATATACTGACCTGACAGTGTGGGAGATTTGTGATAACTTGGAACACTTTTAGTCTCTACCGGGATTAGGGAAAACTAATGCCAACATTGGCAATACATTTACCAGTTTAAAGTGCTCATTTAAATGCCTTTATTAATATACTTTCCCTCATGGTTGAAAATAAACATATTTTGGCATGCGTCTTGTAATTTCATTTTATGACCATTATTTATCTGCAAAATACAAAGAAGGTCCTCAAACACTGCCACTTTTCTTTCCTGGTCTGTAAATAACAAAAGGTTAGGAACCACTGAAGTAGATGACTGCAGGGCTGCGGAGTTGGTACTAAAATCTCTGACTCCGACTCCTTCATAAAAGCTCTACATGCATTAATAATTGAATAATTATTAATTGAGAGGATCTACGCTTTATGTAGTTGAGGACAGATTGAATTTTAAACATGCCCGCTATCACTCAGGGCCAAATTAGAGTGCTTAAAGCAGGCAGCAGCCACCTGAATACCAAGTGCATGGAATGATGGAATAGGACCTCGGTCGTATTTTGTTGGTTTTTGGGAAGCCCCGAGATAATGATCAATTTTGGACTATGACTTAGGCTAAAAATTTCCAAAAAAAATATAATGATAACCAATATGGAAGGAGGAGGGAAGAGAGGCCACGTAAAAGGTGTAAAGATGAAATAGAAGGAGATTTGAAAATTATGGGAATTAAAAAACTGGCACTCTGTGGCTAAAGATCGTCAGGCCTGGAGAAGAATTGTACAGGAAACCAAAGTTCACAGTGGACTATAGAGCTTGAGATGAAGAAGAAGCTATCAGTCAGTTTTCCAACCCTCTTTGTTCTCATATGCTCTGTAAGACTTGAGGTTCTCACAGCGGTGAGTATGAAGATTTCTGTCTTCTGGGTTGTTGCGCTGTGTAGTCTGGTCGATGTTAACCAACGTTTTAGAGGTCATACTGCCTCCGTCATCAGGGCGATGAATATGCCAATAGGGTGTGAGGAGCTGGATTTATAGGCCGGGAAGTGAAAGGTGTAGCCTGCCCCGAGCTAATGGGAGCAGGTATGGGAGTGCACCAGTGGGCGAGAGTGGGAGAGGGAGAGAAAGTAGAGAGAGAAAGGTGAGTTTGGTTGTATGCTCTTTAAAAGTACACATTAGTCACATAAAACTATTATCTTCTCTTTGGTCTTCGTGGATGTCGAACTTGACATCTCATTCCAAAGGAAAAATGATGGTGTTTGAGAACACAATTCTGCGGAAGGTGTGTTCAAGATGAAATAACAGAGAAATTTACATTAAGCAGAGATCCACTTTTTAGTTTGTGATCTTATATTACAAGGGTCTGTAATCAAGAAGGATGTGATTGGGGAGACATGTAGCACATTTCTGGCAAGGAAGAAATTCATGTAAACTTTAAATTAGGAAATCAAAACGTTGATATGATACGTGGGAGATGTAAAGCGTAAGTAGGATGATTATTTTAAAATAAACTTAGAGGAGAATGATATGAGGACGTGAACTTGAATAAATTACTTCAGGATTAAATAAAATCATGGACTTTTGTGCATATGGGGATGAAACTTTGTGATGAATGATGACAAGGAATTTCTTGACCAGATGAGTCTTGACTTTTGAATTAAAACTGTGCCGTGGAATTAGGAAAAAAATATTTGAAATCTTGGATTTAATAATGTAAAATGAAAAAAGGATTGAAAAGGAAATGGATTAAATGCAAAAAAAAACCTCACTTCAGGGTCGTCTGTTTCCTCATATATTTCTCTCTCTTCTTCCTCTGCAGCCCCTAGTTCCTCTTCCTTGTGGTTCCTAGAATCCTGTTCCATGAGAACCTTTTGTAGATTTTTGTCTTCTGGGTTCTTACGCTGTGTAGTCTGGTCGATGTTAACTATGTTATTCATAGCCCTGATGACGGAGGCAGTATGCCCTCCGAAGCGTTGGTTAACATCGACCAGACTACACAGCGCAACAACCCAGAAGACAGAAATCTTCAG